GCTAATAACTAGCTAGTAACTAGCTAGTAACGGCTAATAACTAGCCATAGTGGCGCGCCCCCATTGCCACTCCCGCTAGTAACTGACATGGGAGCGACGTGTGTCCATATGCTCATGTGTCCCCATACTCGTGCGCTACGGAGAGTCGGTGAGATACATTACTTTCACCGGAAAAATATCGCCAGGCAGCCAACTCCGGAGCATGTTCACGCTGCAATACCTCCACCGGAGCACGTCTCCAGCCAATCAACCCAGGACGTGTTTACACTGCAATACCTCCACCGGAGTACGTCTTCACCCAATCAAAGCAGGACGTGTTTACACTGCGATACCTCCACCGGAATACGTCTCCAGCCAATCAACGCAGGACGTGTTTACACTGCAATACCTCCACCGGAGTACGTCTCCAGCCAATCAACCCAGGACGTGTTTACACTGCGATACCTCCACCGGAGTACGTCTCCAGCCAATCAACCCAGGACGTGTTTACACTGCTAGTGCAGTTGCTTTGCCTTGACTGACGCCTGGATCAATTGATATAGTATATATATATATATATATATATATATATACACACAAAGTAAGTTGAGTGTAAGGCTGGTCTGCATATATATAATATATATATAATATATATATATAATATATATATATATATATGCACACACACACAAAGTAAAATGAGTGTAAGCTGGTCTGCATATATATATATATATATATATATATAATTGATAAGTTTTTTCATGACAACTTAGAACATCCAGAGCGCAGGCTCCCCATCCGTCCCACATCGTCCAGACGCCCCGGAAGTCCTTCGGCTCCGAAAGTCTCAGCACGCACTCGGCTTCGGATGACCGAGCGGCCGTTCGGCAGGGCACGGCCGGCGACGGCACACTGCTGCCCACGCTGCTGGCGCTGGGCGGCCTGCTGCTGGCCCTCTCCGGCTGCGGCTGCCTGCTGCGCCAGCCGTCGGCCGCCGCCGTGCTGGCCTACAACCTGGCGTCGCACGCGGCCGTGCTGGCAGCGCTGGTGCTGCTGCTGTGGGCTGGTGCCGCGCCGTCGCCGCAGCTGCTGCCGCCCGCCTGTCTGCTGGTGCTGGTGCACCTCACCATGACGCCTGGGCCGGACCCGCTGGTCTGCGGCCAGGCGCTGCTCACCTCGCTCGTCTACGTCGGCTTTCGGCTGGTCGAACACACGACTGTCGGGCACCAACAGGTCAGTCACGGAGAGAGGTGTCACCACAGCGTATCAGCAGGTCATTGGCGGCAAGGCAGCGGAAGCCGGTGCTACCACAGGCTGGCGCCAGCAGATTAGTGGTGGTGAGAGGAGGGAAAGCATCGCTGGAGGGCATCGACCAATCGTTGCGGGAGAGCGGAATTGGGGGCGTGGGTAAATATACCCATTATTTCGTTTGGTCATTTTGTATACACTGAAGGAGTCTGTCCGTTCAAAGCCAAAATCAGGGGTCAGCATTTGGCCTGAGGATTTTTTTTCTGAACATTTGTGTAAGGTGAGTGTCGTTGTTGCCGCAAGCGGGATGCAGGTAAATTTTGCATTACAATGTTTGGGTAGGGCCACCAGAGGAGGCGAATGAGGCGAAACGCAGGAAAACATAGACCGTGGGCAGCTCCTTTGCTCCGGAAGAGCATCACTTTATCTTCGCAAGCTGACAGCAGACGTGGGGCAAATGAGCTTCGTTCAGGCACTCCGTTTGATGCGCGTCCAGTAACAGCAAGCGGTTGTTTGGGTTTGTTATGTAAGCGACGCACGTGACTGGCGAGCGGCCTGACTGCGCAGAGCGGGAGAGAGAGCAGCACAATACCACAGAGAACGAGGGCATTTCTTCCCCGGCGTGAATATTTATTTCACTTTGGAACACCCAGCGAGAACAATTGCCGACCCCAGTCATCGACACCTTATTTGAGGTATTGCCAGCTGGAAGATACATAACAACTATTTTTTGCCCAATGACCCACCGTTTTAAATGAACGATAAGTTTCAACGTAGCATATTACATTACAACTCAACACACCCCCATGGCTACTAATATACGGTCCGTGACTAAAAAAGCTGCGAAAGGTGGTTCTTGTGTCGCAAACGCCGGGAGAGGTGTGTGTATCTTCCAACCCGAAGTAGCGCGAGCGTAGTTTATCCAAAAGCGCCCACTCTCTCCGTGGTAAAACAATGCTATGCATGGGTGCTAAGACGTGATGGCCCTGAGCAACTGGGATGCTCGTGAGGTTTCGTGCAATGTTCGTGGTGTCTAGTGTTTCGAGTAAGTTTGTAGCTCTCATACTTGGTACTGTACATTGAAACGCTCCGGCTCAGCCGCCTGTGTTCGTACGGCCCTAAGTGTGGGACCTTGTATCACGTGGCGGGATACGAAAGCTTGGATGGTATTTAAGTATTTTCATCTTGACACATTTTCAGTGACAGTGTATGCAGAGATACGGAGCTTTTTTGGATTCACGTTTTATGTCTTAAAACGTAGTATTTGGCTTAACTGTGTCCACCCGTGGCCATGAGCACAGCGTTGAAACGTCGAGTTGTGTCAATATAGCCAATACTTTCTTGATAGCGTCACCTAACCAGTTTTTCTGATATATTGAATACTGAACGTTGTTAGTATGAGATCTCCCAAATTGTCACGCAACTTGTATTAGGAATTTGATGCAAAGTTTAAATCTAAAGTGACGCTGGTTACTTTACTTTCATGGAATGTTGGTTGAAGTCCTCCTCAATTAAGGTAACGTTAGTAGGGCATATTTTGCTAGTAAAATTTAACGTTTTTCACGTACTTTTCCATGCCGGGCTACGGCTATACACGACGAGCTTTCTCTTTCGGCCAGTTGCCGTAGGTCACCATTGATGCACTACATAAACGCAGGCTCTGGGACTTTTGTTCAGTTATCTGGCGCCATAGCACTTAAGTTACCGATACGGGGAGAGTTATGCGTGAATGCATGTATTCAAGAACGAATCTTGCTTGGACAGCTTCATTTTGTCAGCATTTTCAACTTGGGTGACCGGGCCCGATTTGGCTAGGTCACGATGCCTTCAAAACTTCACCATTGAACCCTTTGACTGCAGTTTCATGCAGTTTTGGCAAAAGGAAACGCGACCCGTTTAAAGTTGTACTGTTCAGACACTCAGGCATTGAACATATAATATGTTTTGCCACATAAGATTTGCCGCTGGGGTGGGGGTCACTTTGACTTTCCTAAGATCTCAGGAACTAAGGGAGCTAGAGACACCAAATTCACCGGGTGAGTTGACTTGTACGTGAACTCAACTATGTCAAAGTGTGAGGCCTCTAGGTTGTAACCTTATGGTCAAATAAGGTAAAAAGGTCAATCTCCAGCTTGGTCTGCAAAGTGCCCCAGAACCTAGATCCCTGTTCTGAGTAAACGGTTACATGATCATTTAAGGTGCGTGACATTGTTTGATCCTTCGAAGATCATAATGACCAAAATCCTACAAGACTGCTTTGAGGTTTGCAGTTGCATAAGCGACTAAGATTATGCTTGGCAGTATGCTCCTAAAAAAGGACAAAGATGTTGACCTGCGTCATTTTAGGTCAGTGACCTGTTCTGACCTTTGAGAAATGTATGGAGGATGCATAATACGGTTCCTGTCATCCATAGATTCGAATTGAGCACCAGAAACTACCACATACAGCAAGCCCTAGAATAATAAAGCAGATTGACTTTGACCTTGGTCTGACCTTCAAAACTGACCTTGGGTCAATGGAATTTGTTCATTCAATTGTTGTGTTGCCTGAGAAAGCATCTCAGAAATTATGGCCCCGTCTAACACTTCGTTTTTCCATCAGATTGAACGATTCCCTGGAAAATGACTTCGCGGAATCCATAGCCTGAATTGGACCTGCCATAGGTCAGCAACCTTACGAGGTACAGCTAAATTTTCAATGCCAAACGATCCATTATTCAATTTTCTACGGTTATGGAAAATCAGTGTTACCGCCTCAAGTGTTGCCGCCTCAATACACCGAAGGTTTTTGTGGTCTGGCGTGTAGGTCCCGTGATGCAGCGCCATTGGGTGTGAACCTTTGAGCGGGGACCTGTTTCACTCGCTTGGCTTTAAATGCTCTACCACACAGCTAGATGCAGTGTATGGATAGCCTGTTTTGACTTGAAGCCATTAAAATCCGTTTCCTCGTAGCCTGTTTTTCGACTGCGCTCTTCACCCGGCACACACGGCACACGCGTCTGGCCCGAGCCGCGGACCGGCCCGTTTGCGGCTCCCAAATGTATGGATAGATAATGTTAGACTGAGCATGCAGCGGTCCGTTCGGCGCTGTTAATGCAGTAAGCAGCGAACTGCAATCGATGCGGTGAGGGGAGCGGACGCGAGAGGCGGCGCGCTGCTCTCGAAGGAGGCCTGGAGGCAGCCCCGACGATCGGCGGTGGTCAGACAAGTCCCTCGCCGCGAGAGATGCGTATGGAAACGTCCAAGCGCTAGCGGACCGTGCGTTGTCGCCGCTTAGGTTACGGATCGAGGAGAACTACGCAGGGAGGGGCAATGACAGGATGGGTCGCTTTCGTGCTCGCTCTCGCCGACTGGGGGCGGGGGGGATTCCGGTTTTCTAGTCACGCTTTTGCTATTTTTTAGCCGGCTTGGTTGGGATGTCCTTAAGTGTTGATACCACATTGCTGTTTGGCGCATGAGCCACATCCTTGGAGAGGAATGCATGACATAACAGAATAACATTCTATCCGGGTGCCATTTCTTCCGCAAAAGTATTGTAATCAGTCTGGTTTCCAATCACAGAGTGTCATCTCTCACTACATATAGAGAGTCGGCGAGCTGGACATGTTAGCTCTGGAGAATGCTTCTGCCTGGGGGTGCAAAATACCTGTGCCGTCAAGCGGCGTTGTTCGGGCGTTCGATGTCTCTCACCGGCGACGTCTCCGCGTCAGGTTCTGGTGGACGCAGTGCTGTTGACCTGCGCCCACGGCGTAGGGTCACTACTACCGCCACATGACCCGCTCTGGCCACATGGCGGCGCTGCTGGGCACCAGACGCTGCATTGACTCGCGAGTCAAGCTGGAATGCGAGCGGGAACACCAGGTAAGCGGCACTAGCACGTTTGGGTGTCAAGAACGGCACTCGCGCGAGCTCGTCGAACTCAGACGTCAGGAGAACTCGATTGGACGCGGCGAAGTTTCTAATAAAAGAAGATCACTTGCTAGATCACTAGAAAATCACCATAAAAGATAGAACAGAAGATCACTAGCTCATTCTGGAGCATTGACGGTGGGGCCATTCCACGGGAGGAGGCGGCGAAAAGTCATTTTAACACGACACTCACTTCAGATTTGACGACGACGTGTCTCTGCTGTGAATATATTATGAGTTCAGTGCTATTATGCCATCCCCTTCAATGTATCAAGAGGCACTGGTAAAATCACGTCATTGCTCAAACATTAATATATGGACAGTACCCGACATTTCAAGCTGCGCTTATGATCATGAGTGACAAACGCAACCGACGCTTTTAACCAACGTGTAACCAGTGTAAACATTGTGCCAGTTATAACAATTCACGAGTAAGCGTTGTTTAACCAGCACCTCTGGTCTATTCAAAGTCGATATCTCAGCAAAATAAGTCTGAACTCACACCGACGCAAACCTGGGCTTATAGGCCATTCTAGTATCGGTCGATTAAACCTACTTAGCACGATTCTGTTAGTTTCCCGCTCATCATGAAAATACGATCACATGAAAATACGCGATGACGTTAAGGGCTCTACCTTTCATCTTGCCCCATTAAGAACAATTTGCAGAGCGTCATCTTTAGAAAAAAAAGAAACATTGAAAGATTAGGACCTAAATTTTTTACAACTGTGGGTCAATATGACGTTGAAGGTCCGTTAAGTCCACGCATTTATCTAGTTTGACTATTGATCTAATTTTCTCAAGACAGTTGGTGTCTCCAGTTTTCTAAAAGCCGATTTTTTTAACGAAATAGAGATGATATTCTCCTCTCGATCAGTAGCAATTCGAATTGTAACTTGTGGACGAGGGCGACACACCATGAGCCGCCGGCTGGTGTAAAATGGCCGGGCGCGGTCGGCACGCTTTGTGAGAAGCTGGTACCGTTGCCTGGAGTCTATTCGTTCCGGCCTTAAGACCAGTCATTTAGACATTCTCGAGGGATTTTCAGGACAATGTATGAATGCCGAATGCCTTTTAATCGACCGTACGTAACTGTCGTCCCTCGCGCTTCGCGCTGATGGGAGAGTTGTGCCCTCCCGGCCTTCACATCGGTAATATCGGTAACCATGATATGTGAAGTTGAGCTGAAATTCAGGTAGATAAAAAACGAACCAGTGTTCAGAAATTACTTTCTTACCAACTTGGATTTAGACCTTAACATTGTCGGCTCGTGCGCTGGCCTAGCTCACCGGAAACTACGTATATGGATTTCGATGCACCACGCGTCTGGTTCAAATCTGGCTCGGCGCAAACCAGGCGAATGTCCAGGAGAAGGTCAGTGAACATACAGCCGCGCTGGTGGCAGGTCAGGAAAGTGAAGACCAGCAGTTTTGCCGCTTGCAGGAAGTCAGCTGTCTGCTGTCACACCCGGTCAGCTGTCTGCGCGTGTTAATAGGGACAATCATGATAATGGTGGCATTTGGGTACAGCTTTTTATTCACAAAAAATAAACACCAAGTCTCAACATATTTATTTGTAAGATCGACAATGACACAACAGTCGTGAAGGGGCGTCAGACTATGTTGTGTACTATCACCGAAAGCATGACAGATAGCTTGCCCACCGGCCACTGTCTTTTTACGATTTTTTTATTTTGTCATACTCAGTCTAGACTTTTATTCTGAGCACACTGAAATTACTATATGTCCATTCGTCGTATGTTTCAAAACGGTCAATGACCTCGTTAGCAAAGTCATCTGTATCATCAGTGATAGTGGGCCCATTTAACAGCCACACTATGCAGTAATCGCGAAACGGGACTTCCAATTCTGAAGTTTTTAAAAACTTTCGCAAGGGATATGATTTGCAACCGTTTTCGGTACAGCTAGACAGAAATGAAAAAGGCTCTGATTGATCGGATATGATCAGTGGCAAAAGCTAATGCTTTTGCGAACCAAGTGGTGGAAAAATTGCAAAAATGAAAGCAATTTTCAAAAGGCAAGACCACACTGCAGCAGATTTTCCCAGCTCGACAAAACTCAAAGCGTGGTATTAGCATGTACTCGTTAACGCTTGCAGAGTGAGCACATGTCGAACCGTTCACATTTCGCTGTATGAGCAAGTTGAGCCATAAAATGCTGCCAAACCTAGTGGCTTTTATCAGGATAGTTGTTAGCAGGTGCAACAAACATGCCACAAACTGTACTATGTCAGTGCTGATATAGTGCAGTTTGCAACATGTTTGTGGCATCTGCTAACAACTATCCTGATTAAAGCTTATTTGACACAGCTGTTCGGAGCTGGCGGCAGAGGTGCAATTTCTTTAAGTCAGTTTTTTGGGGTCGAGCCCCTCAATTATGATGGATGAAAAATAATGGATAAACGTGGCAACTGAAATAAAAAACTGCATCCCTGGTGTAGCGGCCACACCTATTCTCTGACTTGCAACGCGGCGAAGAAGCAGCTCCTGGCATATGCGTGCAAATCTAGCGGATCTAGCACTACACAAAGCTGCATTCATGCCAAGGATGTTCATGCATCATCGTACCGGTTTCTGCAACAGTACAGCAAACTATAAACATAGATACAAAATAGCCATTTAGCAGCCAGATAATCCCAGGGCCTTTAGGCCCATCATGCATTATGCACAAGTACCACACACCTAAGCGTAACTTAGATCTTTATACAAACTGAGCAATTTCCTCAGCGGGCTCATGTGGGGCACTGCCGGTTAATCCCGCTGGGGTGGCTCACACAAAGGAAGGTGGCAGGAAACGCAAACGGCGCGACAGAGACAGGCGGAAAAGGATGATGAGATGCGTTTAGGGAACTAAACTGAAGCTGTATGTCCGAAGCCTGCACCTGGTTAGGAGGCACAATCCCGCCCCCCCCCCCGTCCCCCCACAACTGAATAGGAAACTACACGCGTTCAGGCTGGTCATGTTAAGAATGCCTGTATCTGATAGCTCTGTTAGGTTAGCTTTAACCTTCATCCAATGCTTGATGGCCAGGAAATAACACTGTAGTGGAAGTGAACTCCCGAAACGAAAATGTTTGATAGTTATACCGCATTGCACTTAATTTGCCTTTATTTTTTGTGGTTTATTGCATTTATAAATGTATTTTTATGCCGTAACCCAAGAACAGGTAACCAGGAGTGCCGCTCCCTCAATCCCAGCGACGCAATAAACCGTACGTTAACACCAGAAAACATAAAATCAAGTCGCGGCACGCCCAGCTAGGAAGACGAAACAAACGTAAAGAAGCAGGCGAAGAGGTGGTGCAGACCCGAAGGAATTGTGTTATGTAATAGGCAAGGAAAAATCACACCTGAGAAGGATTAAAGTAGTCATTAGCCAAAGTCAGCTAATGACAGCCCGCTTTAAACGCCCAATAAGCTACAACCACCCAATTCACCGTCTTAGTAAGGGTTGTACAGTCACACAAGTCGGAGGGGTAATTCCTGGTCATTTTTGTGCTGGGTTTTGAGCTGGATGTCCAGGGAGTCCACCCAGGTAAGCGGAGCTTGTTGCTGAGAGGACTCCCGGAGCCAGCGCCGTGAATTTGGGTACATGTGCATGACTTTAACTATATCAGAACGTGATTATGAAACATAAAGTAGGTTAAACATGAAGTGCTTTGAATATGTGCAGTGCAAAGGATTGCAATATCTTCAAATATGTCGGTTACGTCAATATGTATTCGCGAAATGCTTGCAGATGATGTTCTTAACGATGGTTTTTGATACAGAGATATCAGTTGCTCTTGGAAAACATGAAACCGTAATGTCGTTCCACAGCTTAGAGCCAAGGCCAGATGTTGTAAATGGTCTATAACTACGATTACAGAAAGATTGGTATAAATGTTTCACACGCCTCATATCCATGTCATTTAAATTGCACTTGAATTGCAATTGTCATTTGTATTGCAATGATTGCTGAAACATTTGACCCCAGGTGACAATTCAGACGGTTCCAAAATTCGTTGGTGACAGAAAAGACACTTTCACCCCTGTAGGTAGATAAAATGTACGGTCCGTGGCGTCATTCCGCATTTTTCTTTACTGCTACCTCGTTACCACTATGCCGCACGTCTCTGAGACTGAGTCGCATTTAGGGCCTTAGATTACGCCATAGACATGCCCCAGTGGCACTTGAAGGAGGTGCTGTGTTATACTTCGGCGCATTGTCGTGAAATGATCCAGCGTTAACTTATTCCTGTAACATGGATCGCGCAGACAGGAGAATAGTGTCAGCTTTAAAGATGTTATTCTCATCTGGTGGACCGGGGCAACTTCTCCATCAACAGTGATAATCACACGGGGCTGATCGTTGTATTCTCCAAATGAATGGCTATTACTGGGCGACCCGGGGGAACATTACAGGTACTACCCCTGGCGCGAGCGCTGCAACAGTGTCTTCCTGTAGGCCGTCTCTTCATTTACTGAGACTTGTCCTTCCCGACATGGGACAGCAGCTCTTCAATATGTGTAATACATCGGACCTTTACTCAAACGGCAGCGGTGCGCCTATGAAAATAAGTTGTGACTGGACGCTACACGTGCGTCTCTCAGATTACGCTCAATGTTCAGGTGCAAAACTCAACCTCACAGCATCCCCCTAGCAGCGGGCTCCCGGGCTGCTGGTACCGCCGGGCTGGAGAAGCTGCACTCTGCCGTGTCCCAGCCAGCTAAAGAGTCGGCCATTTCCAACACCATTGGCTGTCGGCAGAGTTAAAATGTGCAGCAGCAGCCACCGTCTTCCGAGAACTTTGATCCAGATTCGGTCGTGGACGGTTAAAAGTTTTCAGCCGTTATCAGCTAGCTACAAACCTTGCCGTGGGGAACAGAAGAACGCAACATGTGGCATCCAAATGTTGGAAAGCTCCGTGAGCCACTGATACTTGGCATACGT